AATGGTCACGGTGCCGAAGACTGCCGATTTAAACACCGCCATTATCAGTCGTTTGATAACGACGTTGGCGGAGGGAACACTAGTCGAGGCGCTCATAATCAAAGTCAGCCTTATCTCGGTCAGTGGCTGAATGTCACGCTCGAGAGACCCCCTTCCCATTCCTCAGGTACCGCAATCCGTAATCCTTCGAAAACTGAATAATCATACTCAGTGCACATGTTAGAAATAATTCCTGGAGTTACAAGAAGATCGGCCATGCCGATCTCTTTGTGGCAATTCAACAAGGTTAGTAAACCCCTGGAACCCTACTCAGATTGACTTGTATCGGGAGCGAATTTCTCCCGATTTCCTTCGTTCTTTGTGGAAGTAATAGTTCAGAAGCACATAGTCTCATGTGTAACATTTGTACATTTATTGACAGGGAAATGCGAGACCTGGAGGCGTGTCAGTCGCTTCTGGGGTCAGGCGCTTAATGCGTCGCTTCTGGGGTCGCACTAGTAGCGTTCTAGGGCCCAAAACCCATACGGTAATAGGGCTCACATTGAGATTACGCTCATCGATAACCTTTGCAATACTCGATGCATGCTTCCCAGAGTCCTCCCAGTGTCCATCCATGCTCCGACCACGTTGTGGGTAGGTGAGTCTGTTCGAAATCTCATAGCGCTCTCTCAAAGGGTCAGTAGACGCCTTTCCAGCGCTCGCTAACTGGGACTAATCAGGGGCGCTTATGAGGCGCTTAAGTTCTCGTAGCCCATAACCCCTCAAAACCCATATATTCGGGCCTGTCCCGAGGGCTATGGGTTAAGAGGGTGTCGACTGTATGTGCTAGCTTCAGCTGGACAGATAAGTACCCTCTTCCGCGCCTCCTATGCAGCACGTCCTTGTCGTGACCACAACGCATCGCCTAATGAACTCGCTCCTATAGACACAGCGATGAGAGCAGTCACTCAGCAGTGACACGGGCCTGCACTTCGTAGTCCTTGCTGCACTCCACGCGATACCATAAATCCGGTGCGTCTTGGTCTGCCTCGAGGCTGATGTGGATGGGACTGGCATGCGGCTCTCCGCTGTCCGCACCATAAGCCTGATGTTCCTGGAAGACGGAAACCGATACCGGTGACTGCTACGATACAACAAGAGTAAAACTACAACACGTGTTGGGGGGCATGGAGCGCGGTAAGCTACGCGGCTGGAGGAAAAATCGTTACATAGGCGTGAACGTCGTGTTGGGCGCGATCCGGACAAAGTCGATCTCGACGTTGTCCGGGAGGCTCAGCGCGAACGCCGAGAAGCCGTTCTTGAGGAAGTCCCGGTGCGGCGAGTCATCGGGCAGCGTCCACCGGTACTCCCGCAGGAGCATGCTGATCAGCACGCGCTGCTCGTACAGCGAAAAGTTCTTCGCGGGGCACCGGCGGGGGCCCAGGCCGAATGAGACCCAGTTGCCCGAGTCGATCTTCGCTTCGTCGAGGAACCGGTCGGGGTCGAAGATGGCGGGGGCGCTCCATACGGCTTCGTTGTGGTGCGCGGCGCACATGTTGAGCGCCATCGCGGTGCCCGCTGGGACCATGTAACCTCCGACCTGCACAGGGACGTCGGCGATGCGCGGCACTGTGACGTTCGTGGGGGTGTTGTAGCGCATGGATTCGCGGATGATGGCGTTCAGGTAGGGGGTATGGTGGTAGTGGTCTGCCCGCGGATCTTCATCGCCTAACACCTGGTGGACTTCCTCGCGTAACTTAGCTTGTATGTCTTGGAAGCGTGCTAAGAAGTACACCGTTGTGGCGAGGGCACCCGCCGTCGTGTCCTGTGAAAGAGAGAACGCTAAGACTTTGTACAGGCCACACGAAGCACAGCATCCAGACAGAACAAGACTCACATGGCCGCCGATGAAGGTCACGATGGCATTGTCGCGGTATTCGACCTCCGTCATGCCTGGTTCCTGGAACATGTGCGTAATCACGTCGTTGCCAGGCTTTTCGCGCTTCTCCTGAAGGATCTTGCAGAAGTCGTCGACGAAGCTGTCCACCATCTTGCGGACACTCCAACGAGGAAGCCAGCGTTCAAGCGATGGGAGTACGACGTACGCAGGACTAGCGATCGCTGACATGACGTCGTGATACCGCCGGACAAAGTTGCCATGAGGCTTGGCGAGGGCCTCGAAATCGTAGCCGATGACCGTCGTCCCGACCGCGTCGAGGGTGTAGCGGTTCGTGTAGTCGCTCCATCGAACCCGGCCACCATCGCCGATAAGAGAGAACGTCGTGCGCGCGAGGCTCGTGAAGACGTCAATGGGAGTCGTCTGTCGGAGTGCGTCGCGCATTATCCTGGATTGCCGCTTCCACATCTCGCCGTCGGACATGAAGACGTTGTTGCGCCCTATGAGCCTCCAGAGCAGCATGTCGTCGGGCTGTTGCTGCTTGCGTACAGCGGGGTTCTCGAGCAACTCCTTCCCTATCTGAAGGCATCGGAGACATGGTGAAACAACGTTCGTGAGTCGGCTGTGCTGATGGAAGCGGTACTGACTTTGGGCTCGAGGACCTGTACCATCCAGTCCCCGAGGCAGAAGACGAGGACGACGTGCGTGTTGTTCTCTTTGGCAAAAGGAAGGACCAGCCGTTTTACCCGTTGCTCTTCGCACTCCCCCAACAGATAGCTCTTCATGAGCGGCCACAGTGGAACTGTGGGGATGTGCCGCAGGTGAGAAGGTACCCTCAAGAGGCGATGTACGCCATAAGCTAAAGCAGCGAGAGACAGTAATACAACATCGAGAATCGAGAATGAACTCGTGAAGGAGGCGTGCAGTGTGGTCATGGCGTGAGCGTCGTTAGTTGGAGGGGAAGGCACTTTGGGATTCAGGAGCGGGACGGGTTCCGGATGCGGCAAGATTGGGATCCCTCTTTATAGACGCTATGCTCTCGAGCCCTTTTCCATGCGATCAGAATTAGAATTGGGTGGCGTATATTAGGCTGCTACTCCTCCGAGGGTCCATCAGGATGATCTGCCGCACGGACTTGAGACCATACGGCAATTTGGTCTGGCCTCGAGATGCAAGTCATCGTTTGGATTGTCGTCATCTAAGATCGTCTTTTCGCCCGATTTTTATCACTAGTCTCCAGGTACGTACTAGCCCGACTCGAGCATAATATCGAACGATTGGAACTCGGGAACAATGTTGCACCCTCCCGGACCGAAGAGGTACAACATACTTACGATCTCTTTAGCCGCATTCCCACGGCGCTGCTTGTGGCTGAGTCTCACGTGATGACTGTACTAGCGACTCGAAGATGGCCATGATTCGATGCACGGCAGGCAAAGCGCGATGGTCCAGGTGAGGAAATCTATGCTCAATATACGGGCGATGCAACGTGCCCATAAGATTTCTCAAATCACAAAGAGGGATACAAAGGCCCACTGGAAATGCTAGGGTCAGGTTGCGTTGCCCATAAATGCTTGCACAGATTTCCCTGCTTGGATCCTGGCGCTTTGCCCGCCGTGATGACCGCTCCTCGACATAGCTCGACATTCGCCCGACTGGGATCCCATGATTATGTACACATGTTACCTCAACAAGGAAGCGACCATGCGCGTTCGAAGGCGCATATTGGACGGCTCAAGAAGTGGATAGCTTCATCAGCAGTGCGCTTCAGAATCGTCTTGTAAGTACAGGTCAGTACTCCGAGTCGGTGGTCGCATCGATCCCCTCTGTGCAAACCCTCCATAGATCGGGGCTGGCGACTTACAACATGCCGCGAATTGGCTTTGTAACTGCTGTATACAAATGGCTGATCTCAATGGGCGATCGCCCTCGATCTCAGTTCTATCACGATACGCCACGCGCCAGATACATAAGTACTGCGCAGCCTCGTGGCCCGCTCCAAGGTGTTGAAATACGTGCAGGCATACAGTGGGACGACGAATCTCCGCTGGACAGTCGTCGAGACGACTTATACGCGACTAAGCTGACGCAGTGGCGCACTCACGCGGGCCTTTGCTTGGGCAGCATCGTTCCCACAGCATAAGGTCATTACTGTCCGCAGACCCAAAGTTTTGAACCCTTCCATGGGAACCGTAGAGCTCGAGAAGCCCGGAGTGGGTCTCGTATAAATACGCCCTGTGGTCCGTGGTAAGGCCCCAGTTCCTCATCTGTTCACCAGCTTCGCACGACAGGACCAATCCCACTACCTCATTCGATGTCGCGAACCTTCCAGCCCCCTCCGCCTCCTCCGCCCCCGCAGCCGGCCAATGAGCTAGGTCGCTACAGGGTACGTCAACGAGTTCTCTGAAGAGACATAGCGCAGCATTGAGACGCTGCGTGTAGCTCCTATCGCCGTCGGCGGGCGTGCGTGTATCGCCCCTATGCCTAGGAGCGATGTCTCTGGGTCAGGCTTGGTCGGGTATGATGGGTGGTGGTGCGTTTCTGTGCCTGCTTAGCACTCAGTATTCTGTCCTGACGTTCTATGATATCCAGGAACGACTGAGGAGGAGGCTTTCAAGGTGCGTTTCTGGAACAGCGCTAGCGCCCGACATGGTGAACTCAATGCCATCCGACTAGTTCCTTGACACGTTCTGGGAGAACGGTGGAAACTTCATCGATACCGCGAACAGCTACCAAAACCAGGAGGTACGTTTGTGCATACACGAGTTCGCAGCTCTGGTAATCTGTGCTGAACATGACCCAGAGCGAGAAGCTGGTCGGTGCATGGGCGAAGGCCCGCGGAATCCGTGACCAGTTGGTGATCGCTACCAAGTATACTATTGGATACAAGAATGAAGATCCGGAGATCAAACTCAAGGCGCGTCCAATTACTGGGCCTCGTCTTGATATTTGCGAGCTGACGGTCGTGTCGATCTTGGCAGGTCAACTACCAAGGAAATCATCGCAAGAGTCTGGTCCTCTCGGTACGAACATTGTTGCGCAAGTTTTGTGCATCACTCATGAGAAAATTGTCTCGCGTCGTAGGTGGAGGACAGTCTCAAGAAGCTGCAGACGAACTACATCGACTTGCTCTATCTTCATCTGTATGTGGTCGGACTACGATGGTGCTGATCTGCAGCGATACTAACGCAAATTCAGATGGGACTACTCTACTTCGATCCCAGAGATCATGCAAGCACTTGATTCGCTCGTCAAAGCTAACAAGGTCCTTTATCTCGGCATTTCCGACACGCCTGGTGCGGTGCTACCATTCAGCGCAACTGACTCCGCAATGCTTATAGCTCCTCTCCCGTTATAGCCTGGATCGTAGTCAAAGCAAATGAATATGCTCGCGCCCACGGGATGGCACAGTTCGTTGTTTGTAAGTGTCATCCATCCGTTGATTCGTTGCTCCCTAGTCTTGCTTGTTGACTTAGCACCTTCCTAAATTCTACAGACCAAGGCTTGTGGTCCCTGACAACCCGAGACCTAGAGCGGGAGATCCTGCCCATGTGCCGTGCAGAGGGAATGGGCATCGCGCCGTGGGGCGTGCTTGGACAGGTGCGTTCTCGTGTGCCCCACGGAAGGCATCACTCGCGGGGAGACAGAGATCAAGGTGTCTCTACTCCTTGGTGATGTCATGGCAATAATGAATGTGCGAGATCAGTATGTGACATTGATTATGTGTTCTACAGGGAAAATTCAAGACCGAAGCTGAGATCAAGAGTCGGTCTGCGCTCCGATACAACACTCCGCAGACAGCCGAGGAAAAGAGCGTGAGCGCAGTGCTCGAGAAGGTGGCCAACGAGGTAGGGAATGGAGTGTCTCTGGGCGCAGTCGCCATTGCGTGGGCGTTGCAGAAGAGCCCATACGTGTTCCCTATCGTCGGTGGACGGAACACTCAGCAGCTCGAAGAAGTCATCAAGGTAGGTCTTCAACCCTTGATGCTCGACGATGCACAGAATGGATGATCGATCACGTAACAGGCCCTCGATATCGTCCTCACTCCCGAGCAGATGAAGTCGCTAGAGGAGGCTACGCCGTTTGTGCTCGGTTTCCCGTACTTGCCCCTCTTTGGGACGGATCCCGCCCTCGGAGATGGTCGGGGAAACTTCTTTGTTTCCTCCGCTGGCACCGTCAAATTCGTCAAGGCCCCAGCCCCAATTGTCCCCGGTCCTTGAGCGTAGTGGTCGATCACCCTGGTACACAAGCACCAGTGTATTTTCGCCAGTGTGTTGTCTGTTGACGTGTGTCTGCGTGTCGCGTATTACCACCCCGCCTTGTATTTGGTGTCATCAGTGATTGTAGTGCTGCGATGTATGCGCTGACTTGTATCACAAGCGGAAATAACGAAATCCAGTCTCCAGTTACAACATAGTGTATGTTGCATGCACCCACTGGCAATCACCCCATTTTCCACGAATCCCAAGGACGACATACAAGGCTCCAGCATGTTGACGGTCGCCCTAAGCACGGTCACGTTTTCCATCGCCCGATGGCAGGCCCCGAGGCGTCACAGGAGAACATCAGATCTGCATCACAGTTTGGGAAGGAAGTGGTAGGCGGCAGATGTTCTCGATGGTCCTGCGCGCGTACGCGTCTCGCAGTCTGTGAGTTACTTATGCTTCTACCGCTATGGTTCCAATACCGGTGAGTCAGCTCTGTCAGTGCTCATATGTCCGAGTCATTGACCGCAACTTGAACTGGCCGACTTTCCATGAGCTATATACGGCTCTAAGACGTCCGTAAGTCTCTTAACAGACCGAATCAGGCAAGGAGTGTTCTTGCCGACACCAGATCTGAAGCCCCCTTCTAAACTTCTACTTAACAGGTAGTCTCGTGACCAGACGTTCGGAGCTTGAATCGGATGCGAAAAACCGGGGGCATCCACGGCAGGCAAAGCGTGATGGTCCGGGTGAGGAAATCTATGCTAAATATACGTGCCATGCAATGTGCCCATAAGATTTCCCAAATCACAAAGAGGGATACAAAGGCCCACTGGAAATGCTAGGGTCAAGTTGCGTTGCCCATAAATGCCACACAACTTTCCCTGCTCGGAGCCTGGCGCTTTGCCCGCCGTGATTCGAGCTCCTGAACTTCTGGTGGCTTTACCCCCGTGACTCCCCGCTCGGTGACCGGTGTGACCTCCCTGCCTCTTGTCCTTCGTGCGCGTCTGCCTGCTTATCTCCCCGCTATCTTCGAGTCGCGCTGAGCCTACTCTGCTCTTTGTCGACACTCCTCCAACTGGTACGTCTCTATGACATCTACAAGCCTTTGCTACACATCCTCCTATGATACTCAATCTGTCTATCTCTCATATAGGCAGTACACAGTAGTCCGCTCCATGGGCGCTTATAGATCCTCGCGCACCCAGTCTAATCCCACCAACAGTGCCTCTGAGACATCCGCCTGCCACTGGTGTGGCACATTCCCTCCCATATGCTGTCGGAAGGTCTCTTCAAGCCTTTGCTGTGTGGCCTCCGAGTTGTATCCACGTGAGGCTTTGGCGGCTTCTCGGGTGGCTTCCAGGACAGCATATGAGCGGGCGTGTTCTTCTTCATAGGACAGTAGTCAGAGAGTAACGATAGCCATGTAGAGTATATGAGAGCAAGCCAGACATGACATTTTAGGAGATCATTGTGTCCAGTACAGGAGGTTTCGCAAAGTGTAACTACAACAGCAGGCTGCCACATCGCACACTGGAGTCGCCCTCCGACTTGTTCGGATTGCCTCAAATGGGATCGATATGTGACACAGGTCACCGAGCGGGGAGTCACGGGGGTAAAGCCACCAGACGTTTGAGTGTCCGGATGCCCCCGGGTTTTCGCATCCGCTTCACACTCCGAACGTCTGGTCACGAGACTACTTAACAGGCCGTAGTGTATGGTGCAGTTCAATTAGTGGCATCCACTTTTGTACGCAGTTAAGCGCGCGCTTTAACATCACGTGACTTGGTCTTAGGTCGGACTCCACGGTTTTGACCGACTCATGACACCAATACAGCATGTTGCACATCATTGTGACCTCAGAGTTGTTCATTTTATGGGACCTAGTGAAGCACTCTTTTCTTTGACAGCTTCGCAACTAATATACCTTGGAAACTCTCCAGGACAACATGCCGAAGGCTCTGTTGTGAGCTGATCCAGAAGGGAGCCGCCAGCGCGGGCGACGGGCGTCTGATACCATTATGTAATGAACAGATTACCTCTTTAGTGTTTAAACGCCCGTGTCACGTGCTGTGGCCTTACTGACGAAGCCATTTTTGCCAGTTTTGACCCGACCTGAAATCGCCTCTAGGGATTAGTTCCTCTGTTCAAATCCGTGCAATTGACAGATTATGGGAGGGTTTCATGACAGTCTAAGGGACTTATAAGTCGGCGCTTAAATGCGTACAAAAGTGGATGCCTTTAAGTGAACTGCACCATACACTGCTAGACAGGTGGTGGTGGCAGGCCAGTGGAATTCCTGAGATTGTAGAGATCCAGTGTGTTTTCTTGTGGATTTCCAGTCCTCAACAAAGTATGTGGGATTCCAGCAGACCTTCCACTGGATCTCCAGTTGCTCATCACGTGACCTCGGCATGGCGTGATCCGAGAGAACCTCGACGACGAGTGTAGCTCAAACTTCGAACTTCGAAGTGTTGTCTCTCCTGGTCTCCTTGTCTGCAGCACCCTAGCACTCCCTTACCCACCATCCTCCCCTGTGAGCAATCTGCCCATAACAATTTGCACAATTCCTGTCTCGTTTGCAC